TCATTTATTCATCCACTCATTAAAAATTCATTGATCCTTACTATGTACAGACATCGGGTGCACAGGCATCAGTCTGGTTTAACCCATTTGCTAACTTTCACTAAAATTCTGCCAATCATGTAATACAGTGGTTGAGACAATCAGTTTCAGGGTCAAAAGGAGCTTAATGGCTTCAACTTCTTACTATCTGTCTTAGTTATCTAGTGCTGCCATAACAGAAATACCACAAGTGGATGGTTTTAACAAAGAGAAGTTTATTTCCTCACAGTCAAAGTAGGCTAAAAGTCCAAATTCAGGACGTCAGCTCCAGGGGAAGGCTTTTTCTGTCGGCCTTCTTCTCTTTGGTGTTCCCCCAGACTAGGAGCTTCTCTGAGCAGGGACCCCAGTCCAAAGGACGCGCTCTGCTCCCGGCACTGCCTTCTTGATGGTATGAGGTACCCCTGTCTCAATGCTCACTTCTGTCTTTTATATCTCAAGAGATTGCCTCAGGACACAATCCAGTCTTGTAGATCAGGTCCTGCCTCACTAACACAACTGCCACCCATCCTCCCTCATTAACATCATAAAGGCAGGTTTACAACATACAGGAAAATCACACAGTACCAGGAATCATGGCCTAGCCAAATTGATACACACATTTTTGGGGGGACATAATTCAAACCATGACACTAACCCAAGGAGACTAAGAAATCCCACTTCACATGCCAACTGTGTCATGTAGTCATCTCAGATTCCCATCCTTGTTTAGTTCTGACAGCAGCCACCTGCGCAGGATGCTGCCTCTGACTCTAGCCACCTGGGACAGGCCAGATCTCACAAAAGGACACCATCCTTCAGACTGTCAAACAGGCAGACACCAGCTGCAAGTTTGGGAGTCTGAACAATTCTCAATTTCTGATCCGGCTAAAAGCCTTTAACTCCCTTAGAATACCAGCCTCAAGACCAGCAGTCCCCAACTCCCTTACTTCTGCCTCTCCTTTTGGTTCAACAATTCACTGGATCAACTCACAGAGTTCATAAAAAGGCCACCTTTACGATAACAGCTTTAAAAAAAAAAAAGATACAAATGAAGAGATACATGGGGTGAGCTCCGGGAGGATTCCAGTAGAGCTTCCATATCCCCAGGACCTCACTACTCTCCACATGAATGGATGTTTCTCACCAACTGGGAAGCTCCCTTAAGCCTCCAACTTCTGGGCTTTTATTGGCCAGTCCTGTATGATAAGCTAAATTATTCCTCAAGAGTTTAGCATCAGGCCACCAGGTGGTTCCTCTAATCTTACCTACCCTCACTCATTAGCCTCAGCTGCAGTCCGACTCTTAGGAACCTCAAAGGCCAAACTGCTTTCTGCAAGGTTCTTCACCTCACAGTTAGCAATTCTGAAATTATGTATATCTAAGATCCAGCAAATAACGTACTGTGGATGACAGCCAGAAGTATTACTATTACAGAAAAGAGTAACATACAAAGGGAAAAGACTAAAACGAACCCTGTGGTGTTGGACTGGAATCAGAGATATGGGTACGATCTTGTGGTTTTTAAAATATACACAGATCCATACAAAAATAGGTATGTCTATGTATAGGCATACCTCATTTTATTCGGCTTCGCTTTATTGCAGTTCACAGATAATGAGTTTTTTACAAATTGAAGGTTTGTGGCAACCCTGCGTTGAGCAAATCTATCAGTGCCATTTTTCCAACAGCATGTGCTCACTTCGTGTCTCTGTCACATTTTAGTAATTCTCACAATATTTCAAGACTTTTCATTGTAACGGTTATGGTGATCTGTGATCAGTGATCTTTGATGCTACTATTGTAATTGTTTTGGGGTGCCACAAACCATGCCCATATAAGATGGCAAACTTGATAAACGTGTGTGTTCTGACTGCTCCACCAATGGGCCATTCCCCCGTTTCTCTCCCTCTCCTCGGGCCTCCCTATTTCCTGAGACACAATATTGAAATTAGGCCAGTTAATAATCCTACAATGTCCTCTAGGTGTTCAAGTGAAGAGTCCCATATCTCTCACTTTAAATCAAAAGCTATAAATGATTAAGCTTAGTGGAGAAGGAACGTTGAAAGTCGAGATAGGCTGAAAGCTAGGTCTCTTGTGCCAAACAGCCAAGTTATGAATGCAAAGGAAAAGTTCTGGAAGGAAATTAAAGTGCTTCTCCAATAAACACATGAATGATAAGAAAGTGAAACAGCCTTATTGCTGATATGGGGAAAGTTTTAGTGGTCTGGATAGAAGATCAAACCAGTCACAATATTCCCTTACACCAAAGACTAATCCAGAGCAAGGCCCTAACTCTCTTCAATTCTATGAAGGCTGAGAGAGGTGATGAAGCTGCAGAAGAAAAATCTGAAGGTAGCAGAGGTTGGTTCATGAAGTTTAAGGAAAGAAGCTGTCTCCATAACATAAAAGTGTAAGATGAAGCAGCAAGTGCTAATGTAGAAGCTGCAGCAAGTTATCCAGAAGATCTAGCTAACTGATGAAGGTGGCTACATTAAACAACATATTTTCAATGTAGACAAAACAGCCTTATATTGGAAAAGTTGCCATCTAGGACTTCCATAGCTAAATAGAAGTCAATGCCTGGCTTCAAAGCTTCAGAAGACCGGCTGACTCTCGTTAAGGACTAATGCAGCTGGTAACTCTAAATTGAAGCCAATGCTCACTTACCATTCTGAAAATCCCAGGGCCCTTAAGAATTATGCTAAATCTACTCTGCCTGTGCTCTATAAATGGAACAAAGCCTGTGTGACAGCACATCTGATTACAACATGGTTTACTAAATATTTTAAGTCCACTGTTGAGACCTACTGCTCAAAGATTCCTTTCAAAATATTACTGCTCACTGACAATGTACCTGGTCAAACAAAAGCTCTGATGGAGAATCTTCAAGGAGATAAATATTGTTTTCATGCTTGCTAATACAGCACCAATTCTGCAGCCAATGAATTAAGGAATGATTTTGACTTCCAATCTTATTACTTAAGAAATACATTTTGTAAAGCTGTAACTGCTATACAGAGTGATTCCTCTGATAGATCAGGGCAAAGTAAATTGAAAACCTTCTGGAAAGGATTCACCATTCTAGATGCCATTAAGAACATTCGTGGTTCATAGGGGGAGGTCAAAATATCAACATTAACAGGAGTTTGGAAGAAGTTGATTCCAACTCTCACAGATGACTTTGAAGGGTTTAAGACTTCAGTGGAGGAAGTAACAGCACATGTGGTGGAAATAGCAAGAGAACTAGAAGTGGAACCTGAAAATGTGACTGAATTGCTGCAATCTCATGATAAAATTTTAATGGATGAGGAGCTGCTTCTTATGGATGAGCAAAGAAAGTGGTTTCTTGAGATGGAATCTACTCCAGGTGAAGATGCTGTGAACATTGTTGAAATGACAACAAAGGATTTAGAATATTACATAAACTTAGCTGATAAAGCAGTGGCAGGGTTTGAGAGGACTGACTACAAGTTTGAAATAAGTTCTGTGGGTAAAATACTATCAAACAGCATTGCATGCTAGAGAAATCTTTCATGAAATGAAGAGTCAATCAATGCAGCAAACTTCATTGTTATCTTAAGAAATTGCCACAGCCACCCCAAACTTTAGCAACCACCACCCTGGTCAGTCAGCAGCCATGAACATCGAGGCAAAACCCTCCAACAGCAAAAAAATTATAACTCATTGAAGGCTCAAATGATGGTTAACATTTTTTAGCAATGAAGTATTTTTAAATTAAGGTATGTACATTGTATTTTTTTTAGACATAATGCTTTTGCACACTTAAACTACATTATAGTGTAAACATAAATTTTATATGCACTGGGAAACAAAAAAATTCGTGACTTGTCTTATTTGCAGTCGTCTGGAACTGAACCCGCAATATCTCCAAGGTATGCCTGTATACGCCCACACATATATTTCCTAGCTCTTTCCACTTTGAGGGCCGAGTAGCAATAAGCATATATAATACCCAGAACTTTGTTTCTAAATATCATTCTCTAATAAAAGGAACTCAGGTTTCTTGGAGAAAAGTCTGATCCCAGGGCTCAGGCAGGAAAAGGACAAGAGAAGCCTTGAACACTAGCAGAAAGCAACGTACAAATTATAATGGGAACATGTCAAAAAAAATGCAGGAACCTATTTAAGGGAGCTCCTAATAGCCAAATCTGGGAAAATTTGAGCAAGAAAAGAAAAAACAAAGTAATATGGATTAGCCTATACTGGTATAATTTAGTAAATAAGAAAACAGAAGAGAAGACAAAGCTACTCCTTGCAGAATTCCAATTAATAAACATAAAAGAAATGAACAGAAGAGAAAATCTCATTTGGTAAACACTACGGTAATAATAATCATAGATAATAATCATCAAGGGGTTCTAAAAATACTAAGCCAAAGTACAAGGAAAAAAAGAATATTTCCAGTTTCAAAGTATTGCCTCAGGAGAAACTTACTAGTTATAAAGGGTCAGTTAACTTTACAATAAGAAAGAATGGAAGGAAATATGATAACTATGGAAACAAAACACTCAAACCAAATACAAGATCAGTGTATTTTATTGTATGAAAAATATCAATAAAACATTTAAAAATGTTTAACCACATTTCCCCAAGGTTATTTTCTGCAACTTTATCTGTAATAGCCAAAGACTTTAAGAAAGGTAAAATTTAGCTTGAACTGAGAAAGTAGTACTGATGATGACAGCCCCACAGTTATACTGAAACGGTCACTTCTCCCAAACGCACAAAGTAGCTCTAACGACCCCTTCATTGAGTTAGTATTGCTTTCTTACTGAGGAACTCTGTTCTTTAATCCCAGACTTTGGGAAATTTGCTGTTTGAAATTATAGCAGGAAAAATGAAACATCTCACTTCTGACAGAGAGTAGTCTCTCCACTGTGAATTCTCACAGGTTGAGTGAGGTGTGAGGAATAAAGGCTTTCCCAAATTCCTTACATTCTTAAGGCCTCTATCCAGTGTGAGTTCTTATATGCTGAGTGAGGGACGTGGCCTGAATAAAGGCTTTCCCATATTGCTTACATTCATAAGGCCTCTCTCCACTGTGAATTCTTATATGTTCAGTGAGGATCAAATAAAGGCTTTGCCACATTCCTTACATTCCTCTCTCTCCACTGTGAGTTCTTATATGTCGAGTGAGTTGTGAGGACCAAATAAAGGCTTTCCCACATTCCTTACATTCATAAGGCCTCTCTCCACTGTGAATTCTTATATGTCGAGTGAGGTATGAGGAAGAACTAAAGGCTTTCCCACATTCCTTACATTTATAAGGCCTCTCTCCACTGTGAGTTCTTGTATGTTGAGTGAGGTATGAGGAACAACTAAAGGCTTTCCCACATTCCTTACACTCATAGGGCCTCTCTCCACTGTGAGTTTTTATATGTTTAATGAGGGCTGAGGAAGAACTAAAGGCTTTTCCACATTCATTACATTCATAAGGCCTCTCTCCACTGTGAGTTCTTGTATGTTGAGCGAGGACTGAGGAACAACTAAAGGCTTTCCCACATTCCTTACATTCATAAGTCTTCTCTCCACTGTGAGCCCTTATATGTGCAGTGAGGCGTGAGGACCGACTAAAGGCTTTTCCACATTCCTTACATTCATAAGGCTTCTCTCCACTGTGAGCCCTTATATGTGCAGTGAGGCGTGAGTAATAACTAAAGGCTTTCCCACATTCCTTACATTCATAAGGCTTCTCTCCACTATGAGTTCTTATATGTTGAGCGACAGCTGAGGAACAACTAAAGGCTTTCCCACATTCCTTACATTCATAAGGCTTCTCTCCACTGTGAGTTCTTACATGCAGAGTTAAGGCTGAGGAAAAACTAAAGGCTTTCCCACATTCCTTACATTCATAGGGCCTCTCTCCACTGTGAGTTCTTATGTGTTTAGCGAGGGCTGAGGAACGACTAAAGGCTTTCCCGCATTCCTTACATTCATAAGGCACATCTCTGTTATAAATTTTTTTATGTAAAATGAGGGATGAAGGACTACAGGTTTTACATTCTTTACATTCATGCTTATGACCTCTCACTTGTGCGCAAAAGGATGGGAAACTACAGAAATGTTTCCCACATTCGTTACATTCATAGTGTTTTCCACCAGTGAGCGTTGTCACAGAATTCTTAAGTGTTGAGATACAGTCTTTCCCACATACCATATATTTTTGAAGTTTCTTTCCAGTAATAGTTTTCATAGTAGTGGTTAGGTGAGAGAGACAACTGCATGCTTCACATTGCTTACAATGTTGGTGACTGCATCCAATGTGAGATCTAGTACGATATTTATTTGATGAGTGATCCATGAAGGCTTTTCCACACTCACAGCATTCAAAAGGATTTACTTCTGGAAGATTTCTTTTTACCACAGTAAGATTTGGAATCCAGCTGAAGGTTTTCCCACACTGAATGACTTCATTACTTTCACAGAGGTTTTCTACTGTATGACGTCTGTTAAAAATAGGCAACATGCTGTTGTAAATAAATTTGTTCCTATTTCACCGTTAGCAAACACAGTGCATGGTTTCTGCCGACTTGTCTCACGTTTCATAGAATAGATCATCTAGCAGAAATACAATTACTATCACTGATTTTCTAAAACATGGCTTTCTGATAATTGTATTCAAGTAAAATATATTTCAAATACTCAATATCTGACTCACATTTAAGAGAATGCTGTGTTGTGAAAATTCTCTGAACACATAATTTCACAGCTAGGTTTATACATATTGTTGTTAGGTACCATTGAGTTGGTTCTGATTCACAGCAGCCGTGTGTACAACAAAATGAAACACTGCCTGGTCCTATGCCACCCTCACAATCTTTGCTATGCTTGAGCTCATTGTTGCTCATTGTTGTGTCAACCCATCTCGTTAAAGGTCTTCCTCTTTTTCACTGACTCTCTACTTTAATATTTACATACGTATATATAAAAAAAAATATATGTTTATACACATATATATAAGTATATAAAGTCAGAACACTTTAGGACTTTCTCCTGAGGCACTGTTTTCTCTTGTATGAATGACACTCACCTCAAATGTATCCTCTCGTTTTTATGCGGATCTTTATTGCCATGCAATTCGGAGATTTCTCCTAACATGGAGGACCAGGTGTTTTTCTTCATGAATCTCACTATTATATGTTCGCTGGATGACTTTTCTCCATTGTTAAGATTTTGAGAGACTGACCCAATGATTCAAGTTGAGGTTCACAATATGAAAAAAAAGGAAAGGAATTATTAGGGGTAAAAAGGCTGCTGTGAACAAAGAAAGACTTAGCCAAATTTCACTTTTTCAACACTTCGGCAATGGTTAAAAACCAATTTACTAGGAAGTACTTCATAAGGATTGAGTAACGGTGACAAATATAGGTGTAACTAGGAGAGCTAAGTAGAAAGATATTAGACACAATAGACATGTAACATTAAAAAAGGAAACGGGTCTCCATGACCACAGGTTTGAGAGGATTGCTGAAGTCAGAAAAGCTTAGGTACCTGTGAAGCTGTGTCCTCAGCCCAAAGAGACTTTTTCTAACTGATTCAAATGTAATTCCCTCTATGCCAGGGGCAGAGTGAGGGTAATGAGCACGCAGGGGCAATCCCTAAGTTGTGTCCTACCCCCAATTTCAAAATGAATGGACACTGATAGTGGCGATGTGTCAGTAGAAACACCTTCCCCCCTCTAGTCCGGCTGCTTCAGTCAGGCGCCTGTCATATTTGTTGCATCTTGTAATGTCATTCCACACCTTGTCTAGCACCCCCTTGGACTTGCACCCTGGAGCAAGTCCATACCCCCTGCCCCACCTTTTTATGCCTCTGCTAAATGCAGGGCTGGTCCTTCAAAAAATTCTTGCTTTCCTGGTATGTCCTGACACAGTGGCCCTGGATGATTCCTATCTCCACTGTCCTTCCCTCTCATGGAAAATAAATGAGTAGATGACAAGGTGCTCATGGAGAAATGTATATCATGAGGAAGGACAGCGCAGGACAAGTAACATTTCCTTGACACTGAGCCAATATTTTCCTCTTCAGGGTCACTGAAGATGGACAGATGTGAGTTTACAGGCAACAAAATAATCACATTAATAAACACAGTAAAATTCTCCATAAGGTCCCAAAACACAAATCTCAGTGCTCCCTGAAGCCAATGCTTACACTTTGTGATGATTGAGTGTCAATTTGGCTAGGCCATGATTCTCAGTGGTTTGCTAGTTATGATGTAGTTTGGCAGTTATGTAATGATGTATTCACTTCCGTAATGACAGCTGATATAATGTAATCACCTCCATGATGACATCTGCCATTAGCAGCCAATCAGATGAAAGGGTGTTTTCTTGGGTGTGTGGCCTGCATCCAATACATATGGGCTTTCTGGCAAAGCTTGCTGGCTTTTGCTTCTTCTGGACCTTGCATCTGGCTCATCATTATCTGACCTCTGGTTCTTGAGAGTTGAGACAGTAGTCTGTTGTCTTACCTGCCGATCTTGGCTTCATCAGCCTCTGCAGCCCATGAGTGAGCAGCCTGCTGTATGATCTACTGATCTTGGGTTCATCAGCACCTGCAGCTATGTGAGTCAGGTGAAGCCTCCAGCCTGACACCTAACCCATGGATTTAGGATTTTCCAGCCCCTACAACTGTGTGAGCCATTTCTTTGATATAAATCTCTCTCTCTCTTTCTCTCTCTCTACATATATGCAGGCTTAACTGGTTTTGCTTTTTTAGCGAACCCAGGCTAAGACATTTGGTACCGAGAGTGGTACTGATAATTAGAAGTATAAGGAAGCTAGTTGGTTTGTCCTTTCGCTAGACAAAGTGGTGAAAGAAAGAGATGAGCTCAGGGCTTCAGAGTTAAAGCTCAACAGTCACATAAATGACCTCAAATTTGCCCATTCTGCACTGAAACAGTCTTATTTCTTGTAGTAACAATATATATGGATTCTGGCAAAGCTTCTTATCTTTTGCTCACTCTGGATCCTGCATCCAGCTTGTCATCATCTGACCTCTGGTTCTTCGGACCTGAGGCAGATGACTTACAAGACATTGCTGAATGTTCTCACAACACATCACCACCACCCATTTTTACTTCTAGATCTATAACTAGACAGCAGCACCCCACTCCTGGTACCAACTTCTGTCTTAATCATCTAGGGCTGCTATAACAGAAATACCACAGGTGGATGGCTTTAACAAAGAGAAGTTTATTCTCTTACAGTTTAGTAGGCTGTAAGTCCGAATTCAGAGCATCATCTCCAGGGGGTGGCTTTCTTTCTCTGTCAGCTCTGGAGGAAGGTCCTTGTCATTGATCTTCCCCTGGTCTGAGACCTTCTCTGTGCAGGAACTTCGGGTCCAAAGGATGTGCTCTGCTCCTGGTGCTGCTTTCTTGGTGGTGTGAGGTCCCCCGTCTCTCTGCTTGCTTCTCTTTTACATCTCAAAAGAGATCGGCTTAAGACACTAATCTTCTAGATCTCATCTATCTGCCATTAATCCTTATCATTAACATCATAGTGATAGGATTTACAACACACAGGGAAACCACATCACATGACAAAATGATAGACAATCACACAATACTGGGAATCATGACCTAGCCAAGTTAACAGATATTTTGGGGGGGGGGACACAATTCAATCCATGACAGCCCACTAAGCAGATTCTTTGTTCAATTGTTTATGCTTGAAAAGTTAGGAACGGATCTAATAGTTTATTTGGTTGGTTCGCTGAAGCATGGATTACATGGTAGACTACACTAAATCAAACTGAAGTAGCAGACCTGCTTTGGTATAGTGTAGAAAAAAGTTTTCAAAGGCTTAGGGAAATTGGCATGTTAGAGTAGATTCATCAGGTTAGACCCACAAACCCACACATGGAGTCCTCAGAGTACACACCTTTTACCACAACAGTGAGGAACAAATTTGTGAAGGGAGCCCCAGCATCCTTGAAGACTGCTGTGACTGCTGTTTTATGTAAGTGGGAACTCTCCTAACTGAATTAAGACACCTAAAGACAATGGGGCTGACTGGACTCAATCGTGGTAGGGACCAAGTAGAGGCACTCAACTGAAAAGAATGGGGATGGTTACCATGACAGACAGTACAGTCAAAGCAGTAATCAGAATAGTCTGACTCTATATAGACTTATGGTGTTGGCTACTTAGTTATGGTGTCTGTAGGAGTGAAACAGATGGGAAATCTACTAAATATTTACTTGCTATGTACAAGCACAAGAATTCTAGGTCAAATGAATGGCAGTCTAACTTGAATTGCCAGAACAGTCACGGCCCCTCAATGAAATCCTTGACTTAAGCCAGGTTACAGACCCACAACCCACTGAATAAAAGGGAGGCCAGGTCCCCTTCATGAAGGACCACACTGCACTTCCAAAAATTCATACTGTTAATCTTTCTTCCAGCCTACCCTAAAGGGATTTATGGCCTTTTACAAGAGTTACTCTTCATTGGGAAAAAGGAAATAATCAAGCTTTTCGGGGATTACTGGATACTGGCTTTGAACTGACACTAATTCCAGGAGACCCAAAACGTCACTGTGGCCCACCAGTAAGAGTGGGGACATATGGAGTTCAGGTTATTAAAGGACTCTTAGTTCATGTGTCTCACAGTGGGCCCCATGGGTTCCCAAACACATCCTATAGTTTTCCCCAGTTCCAGAATGCACAATTGTAATAGATGTACTCAGCAGCTGGCAGAACTCCCACATATATATGGTGCTATTTCTCCCATAGCCAGGATTCATGGGTGAAGGAATCAAGGGGTGGAAATGGGAGAGGCACCACTCACCATTATCCTTAGCGACCCACTCAAGAAATTTTTGCTTCCTGTCCCCATGATCTTACGCTTTGCGGGTCTAGAGTTCCAAAGGGAGGAATGCTCCTACCAGGAGACACAACACTGATTTCCACTGAACTGAAATTAAGAATGTCACCAAGCCACTTTGGGCTCCTCAGGCCTCTGGATCAACAGGCAAAGAAGGGAATTACTGTATTGGCTGGTGTGACTGATCCTCATTATCAAGCAGAAATTGGACTGATATCACATAACGGAGGTAAAGAAGAGTATGTATGGAATTCAGGAGATCCCTTAGGGTGTCTCTTAGTAATACCATGCCTTGTGATTAAAGATAATGGAAAACTGTTGTTGTTAGGTGCTGTCAAGTCGGTTCTGACTCATAGCAACCTTATGTACAACAGAATGAAACACTGCCGGGTCCTGTGCCATGCTCACAATTGTTATGCTTGAGCCCACTGTTGCAGCCACTGTGTCAACCCATCTAGTTGAGGGTCTTCCTCTTTTTTTGCTGACCCTCTACTTTACCAAGCATGATGTCCTTCTCCAGAGACTGATCCCTTCTGATAACATGCCCAAAGTATGTGAGACTCACCACCCTTGCTTCTAAAGAACACTCTGGCTGTACTTCTTCCAAGACAGATTTGTTCGTTCTTTTGGCATCCATAGTATATTCAATATTCTTCATCAACACCATTCAAAAGCGTCAATTCTTCAGTCTTCCTTATTCATCGTCCAGCTTTTGCATGCATATGAAGCAACTGAAAACACCATGGCTTGGATCAGGTGCACCTTAGTCTTCAAGATGACATCTTTGCTTTTCACACTTTAAAGAGATCTTTTGCAGATTTGCCCAATGCATCTTCTGATTTCTTGACTGCTGCTTCCATGGGTGTTGACTGTGGATCCAAGTAAAATGAAGTCCTTGACAACTTCAATCTTTTCTCTGTTCATCACGATGTTGATTATTGGTCCATTTGTAAGGATTTCTGTTTTCTTTATGTTGAGGTGGAATCCATACTGGAGGCTGTGGTCTCTGATCTTCATCAGTAAGTACTTCAAATCCTCTTTACTTTCAGCAAGCAAGGTTGTGTCATCTGTGTAACACAGGTTGTTAATGAGTCTTCCTCCAATCCTGATGCCACGTTCTTCTAAATGTACAGCTTCTTGGATTATTTGCTCAGCATACAGACTGAATAGATATGGTGAAAGGATACAATGCACACCTTTCCTGACTTTAAACCATGTAGTATCTCCTTGTTCTGTTCGAACGACTGCCTCTTGATCTGTGTACAGGTTCCTCACGAGCACAATTAAGTGTTCTGGAATTCCCATTCTTCGTGATGTTATCCGTGATTTGTTATGATCCACACAATTGAATGCCTTCGCATAGCCAATAAAACACAAGTAAACACCTTTCTGATATTCTCTGCTTTCAGCCAGGATTCATCTGACATCCCTCATTCCATGTCCTCTTCCTAATCTGGCTTGAATTTCCCTGTTGATATACTGCTGCAGCCACGTTCGAATTATCTTTAGCAACATTTTACTTGCGTGTGATATTAACAATACTGTTCAATAATTTCCACATTTGGTTGGATCAGCTTTCTTGGGAACAGGCATAAATATGGATCTCCTTCAGTTGGTTGGCTAAGTAGCTATCTTCCAAATTTCTTGGCACAGACAACTGAGCACTTCCAGTGCTGCATCCGTTTGTTGAAACATCTCAACTGGTACTGTCAATTCCTGGAGTCTTGTTTTTCGTCAGTGCCTTTGGTGCAGCTTGGACTTTTTCGTTCAGTACCATCAGTTCCTGATCATATGCTACCACATGAAATGGTTAAATGTCAACCAATTCTTTTTGGTACAGTGACTCTGTGTATTCCTTCCATCTTCTTTTGATGTTTCCTGCATCATTTAATATTTTCCCTGTAGACTCCTTCAATATTGCAACTCGAGGCTAGAATTTTTTTCTTCAGTTCAGCTTAAGAAATGCCAAGTGTATTCTTCCCTTTTGGTTTTCTATCTCCAGGTCTTTGCTCATGTCATTATAATACTTTGTCTTCTGAAGCTTCCCTTTGAAATCTGTTCAGCTGTTTTACTTCATCATTTCTTCCTTTTGCTTTAGCTACTTGACGTTCAAGAGCAAGTTTGAGTCTCTTCTGACATCCACTTTGGTCTTTTCTTTCCTATCTTTTTAATGCCCTCTTGCTTTCTTCTTGCTATGATGTCCTTCATGTCATTCCACAACTCATCTGGTCTTTGGTCATTAGTGTTCAATGCATCTATTTTTGAGATGGTCTCTAAATTCAGGTAGGATATACTCAGGGTTGTACTTTGGCTCTCGTGGACTTGTTCTAATTTTCTTCAGTTTCAGCTTGAACATGGATATCATCAATTGATGGTCTGTTCCACAGATGGCCCCTGACTTTGTTCTGACTGGTGATACTGAGCTTTTCCAACATCTCTTCCCACAGAGATAGTCAATTTGATTCCTGTGTATTCTATGTGTCTAGTCACCGTTTATGTTGGTGAAAAAGGTATTTGCAACAAAGAAGTCACTGGTCTTGCAAAATTCTATCATGCGATTTCCAGCATCGTTTGTATCACCAAGGCCATATCTTCCAACTACCAAACCTTCTTCGTTTCCAAATTTTGCATTCTAATCACCATTATCAATGCACCCTGATTGTATGTTCAATCAATTTCAGACTGCAGAAGTTGATAAAAATCTTTACTTTCTTAATCTTTCGCCTTAGTGGTTGGTGCATAAATTTGAACAATAGTCGTATTAACTGGTCTTCCTTGTAGGTGTATTGATATTATCCTATCACTGACACCGCTGTACTTCAGGGACATTTTGACATGTTCTTTTTGACAATGAATGCAATGCCATTCAAGTTGTCATTCAAAGCATAGTAGACCATATGACTGCCCAATTCAAAATGGCCAATACCAGTCCATTTCAGCTCACTAACGCCTAGAATATCAATGTTTATGCATTCCATTTCATTTCTGATTTACAATTTTCCCATATTCATATTTCATACATTCTACATTACTATTATTAATGAATGTTTGCACCTCTTTTTCTCATTTTGAGTCATGCCACCTAAGCAAATGAAGGTCCCGAAAGTTTGACTCCATCCATGTCAAGAGGGTCGACTCTACTTTGAGGAGGCAGTTCTTCCCTAGTTGTATTTTGAGTGCCTTCCAACCTGAGAAGCTTATCTTCTGGCACTGTATCAGACAATGTTCCACTTATATTCATAAGGTTTTCACTGGCGATTTCTTTTCAGAAGTAGACTGCTGGGTCCTTCTTCCTACTCTGTCTTAATCTTGGAAGCTCAGCTAAAACCTGTCTTCCATGGGTGACCTTGCTAGTATTTGAATACTGGTGGCATAGCTTCCAGCATCACGGCAATATGCAAGCCCCACAGTACAACAAACTGACACTTGGGGCAATGGAAAACTACAGCAACCCAATTCCGACATGACTATTAAATGGCCCACACCATTCAGGAATGAGGGTTTGGGTCACCCCATCAAGCAGAGAACCGTGACCAGCTGATGTGCTTGCTAAGGGTAAAGGGTATACAGAATGGGTGGTGGAAGAAGGTAGTTGTAAATACCAACTATGACCACGTGACCAGTTGCAGAAACTAGAAGTGTAATTGCTATGAGTAGTTCTTCCTTGTGATGTAGATCAATATTTTTGGTTTTTTCACTTCTAAGATACAAAATGTAAACATCGCTAGTTCATTTTTGGTCGTATGCATACTAATTGTATCATATTAGGTACAAGTATGACTTTATAATTGTCTTTATGTAGAGATTACGTATGGCTTAAGGAGATGTTTACACGTACCAAGTTGACAAGGGGTGCACTGTGACGGTTAAGGCTGTGTGTCAACTTGGCTGAGCCATAATTCTCAGTGGCTTGACAGTTATGATGTAGTTTGGCAGTCATATAATGATGTAATCACCTCCATGATGAGATCTGATATATGCAATCACTTCCATGATGAGATCTGCTATGAGCAGCCAACCAGTTGAAACGGTGTTTCCTTGGGGGTGTGGCCTGCATCCAATATATATGGACTTTCTGGCAAAGCTTGCTGTCTTTTGCTTGCTCTGGATCCTGCATCTGGCTTGTTATCATCTGACCTCCAGTTCTTGGGACTTGAGCCAGCAGCCTGCCGTCTTATCTGCTGATCTTAGATTCACCAGCCCCTGCAGCTATGTGAGCTAGGAGAAGCCTGATGCCTGATCCACAGACTTGGGACTTTCCAGCCTCTACAACTGCATGAGCCAGTTTCTTACTATAAATCTCTCTCTTAATATCCTTTGATCGTTTTTCTTTTCTAGAGAACCCAGCCTAAAACACAAGCGAGACAAAAACTCACACAGAGTTTTCTGTTCATGGAGAAGCCAGGATATGTGAGCTCCACAGACCAAGGGACCATGATTGTTTTATTTAACAATTTATTTCCATTCCTCAGCCCAAATACTGAAACAAAGTCAATGAGTAAAATATTTTTGTTCACTAAAGGAATAAAAAAAATAAGTGATGCCATTCTTACCTACTGAGGCCAGGTTTCTGAAGGTTTCCATCATCACATCTCTGTAGAGTTTCTTCTGAGGAAGATCAAGCAAAGCCCATTCTTCCTGGCTAAAGACCACGGCCACATCCTCAATGACCACTGAGTCCTAAAACATACCACACTTTCTGGATTAGTAAGGCACCATGCACTGTAGTGTGTACAAGAACAAATGGTGAAGCTGACAGTCCTGAGGAACTGAGAATTCATAGAAATTTTTATATAAGATTCTATGCTCCACCGAAGTCTACTCTAAGGTTGTCATGGATTGTATTATGTACCCCCAGAAATGTATCAATTTAACTGGGCCATGATTCGCAGTATTGTGTGGTTGTCCTCCATTTTATGACTAATTTTATGTTAGAGAGAATTAAGGTGGGATTGTAACACCCTTACTAAGGTCACATCCCTGATCCAATGTAAACGGAGTTTCCCTGGGGTGTGGCCTACACGACCTTTTAAAGAGAGAAAAGGGAAGCGAGCCGAGAGTTGGGAAACTCGTACCACCAAGAAAGAAGCACCAGGAGCAGAGCGCATCCTTTGGACCCGAGGTCCCTGCACAGAGAAGCTCTCAGTCTGGGGGAAGACTGAGAACGACAAGAACCTTCCTCCAGAGCTGGCAGAGAGAGAAAGCCTTCCCCTAGAGCTGATGCCCTGAATTCGGACTTCTAGCCTACTAGACTGCGAGAAAATAAATCTCTCTTTGTTAAAGCCATCCACTTGTGGTATTTCTGCTCTAGCAGCACTTGATGACTAAGACAAGGATACAGCCATCATTCTCTTCCTTCCCTTCACTAACTAAATTCATTTCCTCGCTGATTGTATCCTGTCTCACAGACTTCCAAAAAACTGAAATAATCTCTTCACAGTGTGATGGCACCAACTGCAGTCTTATTTCTCTCTCTTTATGGTCTAGAACAGTTAGAAAAACTCTAATTCAGGTCATCACTTCCTTGTGAACGAACAGGTTCACCTCCTTCCATAAGACCCACCAGAACACTCAACAAAACATAAAGCAAAGCGTGAAGGCAAGATGAGGTATTAACAACTGGGAAACACTGCAGAACGGCAGTGTTTCTTTTGCTCCTCACAGTCATAGGAGGACCAGGGGCCAGCACAAACTGACAACCCAAGGCTGTGAGCTGGTCATATTTCTTGAACAACTCTAGGAAATCAAGAGGTGACAGGTCTATCTGCTGTAAAAAGAACACTCTTCTAAAGAATTATGAATTTTTACACACCAGTCACTTATTTTTTAAAAACTCAGTTGTTCTGTCATCCTCTCTGTCCCTTTCATAGAGACAGACAAAGGTATTAGAAGTTCAAAAGAGCTCAGGTGAAAAGCAGGAAACGTAAGAATCCAAATCTCCTCACAATTCTCAAATTTTGAGACATGATGCAACTGTACCCCAATTATTAGTGACTGCTCCCCTCAACAAACATAAACCCATACATTCTCAGTCTATTGTTATAAGATGACAAAAAACACTACCTCTGCACAAACAATAGTATGCCCTTGTGTTTGCTGACTGAGAAGAGGTTACGATGTCTATTTCATAACGACTGCACAAAAAGATGAACATAATATCACCAAGTTATACATGTAAACGTTGCTAAACTGGCAAATATTTTGTTATATATAATTCTTACCACAAATAAAAATAATTTTTTAAGTAAGCTGAAGGGCAGTTTACTGTTAAATTGCCTGTGAAGCCTAGGAAACAGTTACACACCAGCCCTCTAGAGGCTACACTCCAAAATTCTCTCATATTTGCAGCCCCTGGAAGGCACAGCCATGACTACCTGAGCCCTGACCAAGAGAACTGGTCTCTGGGTTCTGCTGCCTCTGTTTCTCTGCTGATGCTTCTCACCATCTCTGGTGTTACAGATCTTTGTCTTCTGGGTCTAGGAGTTCCCAGTGCAGGGACTCTGAGCGCCAAGGACGCACTCCACTCCATATCTTCTTTCTTGGTGGTGTAAGGTTCCCCCCTTTCCGCTTCTGGGATGGCATTTTAAAAGTAGCAGAATGGCAAAACTGACTAAATACCCTTATTAGGGTTCCATACACCTTATTTGCAACGTACCACCCCCACAAGGGTGCCATGTACATTTTTTGCATTATTACGAAGCTATCAATCTCCTTGGTGGGACACAAGTACCACATATGCATAGCTCCACCCAGTTATTTGGTGGGAGTTACAAAGACTATGGCCAGAACAGATATGTTAATTCACTGCACTTCAGGCCACTCCCTGGCTCTTCTAGTCATTAGCTCTTTCATACTCGAAGGATTAACTTCCCCCTCCCAATAATTTTACCGCTCCAAAACAGTCATTAACAATTATTACTTCAGTAGGGCAGAGTCCCTAGGTGAGGTTATTCAAGTACCAGCCATTCAGGTCTGCTGCAGGTTTCTATCTGATCTGGTCAGGTTCTCCTAAAGTCATCTCAGTTTCACCCTATCTGGCCTCTGATAAAATTTTAACTGAGAGAAGATTATTCCCTTGTTCTGAGAGCCTCTGAGCCTCACAAAGTATCAGCATAGTAAAATCTTTAAGGGACTTTAGGTTTGGCCACTGTCCTCCAGTCTAGCAGTGTCTTCCCCTTAGTCCCCTCTTTTATAGTTACTGCTTCTTTAATAACAATTTTTACAATCACAATTACCCCTATTAACAATCAACATTCACAACTGAATCATATAATTCTATCAGCATCTTCCTCTACCCTCTCTTCCCCAGACCCATCAGGAAAAAGAGAAATCTATTTAGTGGGGATCTTCCCTTGTCCCCCTCATTTGGAGTCTAAGCACATCCACAACAGTGTGTAAGCCAGCCACTTCATGCCTTTATACCCACCCCCCCATTTTAAATAGCCAATTTCTAAATTGCCTATCCCTTCCAAACCAGTACTTTGAGAAGACAAGCATGTTTCTTGGCCTGGCGAATCTTCTGTTCTGGTTGGAACTTTGAGTATCTGCATCCATAAGCAAAGTCCGGTCCAGAGGAAGCCATCAAATTGCAGCAATTTACACCAGCTCATGGTATCAAACATCTTTCTCTTAATTTGGTCTGGTTCTGGTCAGCTCATCACTAGCCCATGTGGACTAGGTCAACGGGTACCAACTGTAGGCTCAGGAGTCCACACACCTCCCTGCACCTCAGACCAGCCAGCCCCTTCTCTCTTTCATTCCTACCCCATACTGGTTAGATCAACAAGCACCGTCTGTAGGCTTAGGAGTCCACACAACTCCCTGCAACTTCAGACAAGCCAGTCCCTTCTCTCATCCATAGCCTCTGATGGCTAGGTCAACAGGTGCCAATGGACCATGTCCAAACTAGGCCTGTCTCTTCATTGCTGCACCTTCCCCACTTCCACTCATTGAGTGGACGCAGGTGGTCACCACAAGCATGTATACCAGGCTGTCTACTCGCTGGCTCTCTTTAACTTCTAGTCCTGGAAGGGGGTTCTTCTGATGGGTACTGACTTTTCCTGCCTCAGTGCACCCAACAGAAAACCACTTGCTCAAAATTATAAAAGTTTTTTTTTCCTTGCAGGTCCTTTCTCCAAACGCAAACCTCCTGCTCTCCCAGCAGTTCTGGGTAGGACTGCATGTATTTTCAAATGCAAATTTCCTGACTGCTGGTTTTAGATGGGGCTCAGATTTTCGACCTAAGCCCCCAATACTCTATGCACAGGGCTACTGCATTCAAATCGACAGCCTGTGCTTCTTTCAGGCAAATCCTAGTTCCCCTTTTAGCATATCCAGTCAAGTATTGGTTGAAGGCAAAGTTGCACACTCTGTTATCTACAATACCTAAAAAACTAAAACGGATGTCAGAAAAGACTCTGAAACTTGCTCTTGAATGTACAGCAGCTAAAGCAAAAGGAAAAAATGATCAAGTAAAAGAGTTGAACAGAAAATTTCAAAGGGTGGCTCAAGAAAACAAAGTATTATAATGAAATGTGCAAAGAGCTGGAGATAGAAAACCAAAAGAGAAGAACATGCTCAGCATTTCTTAAGCTGAAAGAACTGAAGAAAAAATTCAAGCCTCAAGTCGCAATATTGAAGGATTCTACAGGGAAAATATTAATTACAACGCAGAAAGCATCAAAAGAAGATAGAAGGAATACAGAGTTACTGTACCAAAAAGAATTGGTTGACATTCAACCATTTCAGGGGGTAGCATATGATCAAGAACCGATAGTACTGAAGGAAAAAGTCCAAGCTGCACTGAAGGCACTGGTGAAAAACAAGGCTCCAGGAATTGACACAATACCAACTGAAATGTTTCAACAAATGATGCAGTGCTAGAAGTGCTAACTCGTCTATGCCAAGAAATTTGGAAGACAGCTACCTGGCCAACCAACTGGAAGAGATCCACATCTGTACCCATTCCAAAGAAAGGTGATCCAACAGAATGCGGAAACTATCGAACAGTTATCATTAATATCACACACAAGTAAAATTGCAGCAGTACATCGACAGGGAACTGCCAGATATTATTCAAACTGGATTCAGAAGAGGACGTGGAACCAAGGATATCATTGCTGATGTCAGACAGATCCTGGCTGAAAGCAGAGAATACCAGAAAGATGTTTACGTATGTTTTATTGACATGGCATTTGACTGCGAGGATCATAACAAATTATGGATAACATCGTGAAGAATGGGAATTCCAGAACATTTCATTGTGCTCATGAAAAATCTGTAGTTAGACCAAGAGGCAGTTGTTCGAATACAACAAGGGGATACTGTGTGGTTTAAAGTTTGAAAAGGTGTGTGTCACGGTTGTATCCTTTCACCATATTTATTCAGTATGTATGCTGAGCACATAACTTAATAATTTAATGATTGACACCGTGGCTGCAACAATGGGCTCAAACATAACAACGATCAGGAGGATGGTGCAGGACCGGGCAGTGTTTTGTTCCGTTGTACATATGGTTGCTAAGAGTCAGAACCGATTCGACGGCACCCAACAACAAACATATAAATATGGGAAACCGGAAAAACAAAAGCATAAATGAATAGTATAAAGAATGTAACATGAAAATAAAAACCAGAGTAATGATACAAAACACAAATGAAGAATTTGCGTTTCTGCTCCGATATATAAG